AAATTCATCTGGCTTGCTATATTTTTCTAAAGTTTATATTACACTTTTAGCGCTAAGATAACATATTCTGAAATTTGTTTTCACCTGTAAACCTTTACTGAATGTGATTTGTCTATATTTGTTTTTTAATTGAAATATTACTAATATTTTCCAAGTCTATTTAATTTTCCAGTTCTTCGGAGAAAAAATTCTGAGAACCATCCACTTTTCTAAACTTGTGATATTATAGTAAATCTTTTTCAAAGAAAAAAAATTGTTTGTGTCATCTGTCCTTAATACAATCGTTATTCCAACTTAGGTAGTTAAAGTTATTGTCATTTTGTTCTCTTTGAGGTAATTATAATGTAGGAGTAAATCGTTCGGAGGTATGATAAAAGTTTATCAGCAATAAGATACAGCAAGTCACACCCGTCGTGTGCTGCATGTCGTGATCGGGAAAATAACGGAGAAATCCGTTGGCAATTCAGTATATATTCAGTTAATTCTAGATAAACCGCCACGTTTTGTAATTTAGAAATCATGGCGGTATAACGAATTTGGCGATGATTTGAATTTTCCATCTTTTAGGAAATAAGACGTAGATTTATCGTTCTTAAAAATATCATCAAGCATTAAGCTTATTATTACATGTACATGTACATATAAACGTATTTCTAAATTTGAAAATACTTCAAGTAATATTTTTATGTACAATTTCGCTAAAACAAAATATTCAGTTAAGAAATAAAGACAATTACAGTCATGTGTAATCATGTAAATCAGCACGTCTGATATTGAAAAAATGTTGGGTCGATTGTCGTGATATATTGCCTATAGTACGTAAAATGAGTTCTTGAATAAATTCATTGTTTATGACATCATTGTCAATGAAACGTTCACAATTTCTGATTTATAATTATTTGTTAAGCAAACTTCGCATTGATCATCAAAATGATATCGTTATCGGCGTACTTTACAACGACTGCTTTCGTGGCGAAGCCTTGACTAAATGATTTTATTAAACAAAAAAACATCTAATAATTCATGTTAAAATTATTGTTTACTAAATTGCATGTACCTGTACCTTGACTGGCTTTGCATGCTTTACAACAGGGATGGCGTCAACCAATTAGCCGCGCTTTACTGACCACATGCACCTGTTGCGATATTATCGAGATTATTGACACTTAAAAATTGACGTTTGCGAATTTGGCGTTATAAAGAGAATTTTATATAGCAGGAAAAACGTTCTTGGGTAATCGTGGCGGTATTGCGAAAATGGCGATGAATCGAATGGCGATAATTCGAGAATTGACTGTATATAATGGCCAACAATAAGTTTGTTAAAAAATCCAATCAACAAAGTAGATTACTACATACGTAAGGGGAGTTTACTATTAAGAAACAACTGCAAATTAGGAAATCTTTTTGTGCTTTTTTTTGTGTGGTTTTTTTTTTTTTTTTTGGTCATTTTAACATTATCGGCGCAATAATGCCTGATTCATATATAGAGAAGAAGCACACATTACTTTCTCTTATTTACGAATGTGTACAGTGCATCTTGTAAAATTGTCCGGTTTCAAAAAAATACAGATAAAATGGTGAGATGTAGGAGTTCAGTAAAATTGTCCGTGTTAGATAAAATTTATAACAACAAGCAGGAGAGCCACAAAGCTGTTTCATTCCCTAGTAAAGAGAATTTCATAGATCAAGGCAGTATTTGACATTGATCCCAGTGAAATTTACGTGACAACTACTCCATTGCAGTAGGATAATAATTTGTCAGAAAAGCAAGACATTTCCTATATTTTTTTCTAGTACCCAGTGTATCATGGAAATGATATAAAGGGAATGTGCGAATTATTTGACTATTTGAAATAGTCCGATCCTCAGGTTTATAAAATCAAAAGTTAAGTAATCCAAAATACTCATAAAAGTATCTCAGAATCCACAAAGTTATGTAAATTTATCCACAGTATTTCTTTAAAGTTAAAGATAAAAATTAATCATATTATATAGGGAAATGTCAAATCTCCAATATTTTTTACAGAAAAGCGAATTGAAATATCAGCAATGCATCTTCTAATTGCAAATTGATCAACAGATATATTTTAGGTTAAAAAACGATAGGTATCCAGGCATTCAGAGAAATTGTCATGATTTTTATACTTTTATGGTATTTTTTGTCTTTTCTTTCAGTCATGTATTCAATGATACAAAGTGTTATAGGCTTTTGCTATCATTGCAAGACACCACAAATCACTTCTTATTTCATATCATGCTAGTAAGCATTTGTATCTAAGGCTGGATTGAAGAAAGTCTTATTTCTCTAAAACTGTATTAATTTGTTTCCTTTGATAGGGTACAAATGTCAATTTTTTAAAAGACCTTTCCAAGAAAAGCCTTGAATTTTTATAAAGATGAATAAGATGAAAATTATTGCATGAAAAAATTCATTTTCAAGCTTCATGTTGATGCATTCTAATTTAAATATGATTTATTGAAGTTATCCTTCCTAGCTGAGGATAGGATATCCTTAAGCACAGAAGTACAAAGTCTATAATATAAGCTAAACCTGAACCATTATTATTAATTAAAGGTTTTACGTGTCGTCAGTGTAATATATATATTTCATTAAAACAAGAGGCCAGGGGCCATATCGCTCACCTGAGCACATCAGCTAGGGAAAAGCACAAATCAGATCAGAATTGAAACGTTTACTGAGGAGGGAGGGGATTTGAATTCTAATACTACTTGAGCATGCCTCCATATCAATTCTGCATGTTACTTCTTGAGAAAGTTCTTGCGGAAAATATATTTATTAGATTTTTAAAAACATATTGTTGGTATATATTCTTTTGTAATGATTTGAATTTGTTTCTCCATTGTTTCTCTCCCTACCCCAAAGGGTACTCATGATTTTAACAAATTAAAATCTTCAATACTCCTCGAGGATGCTTACATGTTAATATGACTTCACACAGCTTTTCTGTTATTGTGATTTCCCCTTTATTTTCCTATGTAAAAATGTTTTCAACCCATTGACACCAAACTCTACCTTTGCATGGAATGATTTGAACAAAAATAATTAACAAACTAGAATGTACAGTACCTAAGGATGCTTCCATATATATATATATATATATATATATATATATATATATATATATATATATATATATATATATATATATATATATATATATATATATATATATATATCACCAATCAGGGCTTTGCAAATCTTGAGACTAAATTTTTAAAGATTTCCCTATAAATTCCTACATGTCAAACTTTGATCAGCCATTGCGGCCCAATCCTACCCCGTGGTCATGACTTGAACAAACTTGAATGTACAGTAGATGTACCTGAGGATGAATCAACATGAGTGTCATCTTTTCTGTCCCTATGGATCTTGAGAAGATTTTTAAAGATTTTTCCTTTATATTCCTATGTAAAAACTTGATCGGCCATTTTGGCCCATCATGACCACTGGGGTTCGATTTGAATAAACTTGAATGTACACTACCTGAGGTTGATTCAACATGAGTTTCATCTTTCCTGTTTCTATGGATCTTGAGATGAAGATTTTTAAAGATTTTTTTTTTTTATATATTCCTATATAAAACTTTAATCGGCGTATGTGGCTCCACCCTTGCCCCGGGGGTCATGATTTGAAGAAACCGAAATCTTTATTACCTGAGGATGATTCTACATGTGTTTAATCCTTCCTGTTCCTTTGGATCTTTAGAAGAAGATTTTAAAGATTTTTCCTATATATTCCTATGTGTAAAACTGTGTTCGGCCATTGTGTCCCAACCTTAGCCCCGGAGTCATGATTTGAACAACCGTGAATGTACACTATAAACTATAAGCTATCTGAGGATGATTTAACATGAACTTTATCTTTCCTGTCTCTATGAATCTTGAGAAGAAGATTTTTAAAGATTTTTTCTCATATATCCCTATGTAAAACTTTGATCGGCTATTGTGGCCCCACCCCTGCCCTGGGGATCATGATTTGAAGAAACGTAAACCTACATTACCTGAGGATGAATCTACCTGAGTTTCATCTTTCCTAGGTCAGTGATTATTTAGTAGATGATTTTTTTTCAATGCCATTGTTTTCACTTATTTATAATTTTATCCCCTTGGAAAAGTGTTTATGTATGGCCCTTCATTTGAACAAACTTGAATTCCCTAAACCTAAGGATACTTTGTGGCAAGTTTGGTTGAAATTGGTTTGATGGTTCTTGAGAAGAAGGTGAAAATGTGAAAAGTTTACAAAAACCACGACAACGACGATACGGACAACGACAACGACGACAGACAACGGACAAAATTTGATCAGAAAAGCTCACTTGAGCCTTCAGCTCAGGTGAGCTAAAAATATGTAATCTTGAAACGATTTCTTAAACATTTTTCTTATACAAAGCTTAAAAAAGATAAACTTTTTTTATTTCCAGTTTCCATGGCAGAACCTACAAATAGATTGTTCGTATGTATATTACGTAATAATTTAATTGTTTGTGTAGTGTTTGATCAAATTAGTGTTTAAATTTTTTTTTACGAAAGATTGATTTCATTTAAGAATTGAAAAAACCATAACTATATCAGTTTTCAAATAGAAATCTAAAAAGGTAATTTTGATATTGGATACGGTTATTCTTCCTTTAAACAAAAATTTATGTATGAATTTAATGCAGGGTTCTGTTTCTGAGATTATTCCAAATGCATTGTCAATGCAACTCATGAAAAATGGAAAGTGGAAAATTCCAAAGGATTTCATAACGGCACATTTTACCTTGAAATCAATTGAGTACATCTACGAACAGGTAATGATGTGTTCATAAAAATTGACATTTCCTATTTGAGTTTACCATATCAAAGTCATAATAGTATCTCAAAATAAATTCAATTTACTTAAATATTATTAGGAAATGAAATACGAACTTGAGTCCGGGCTCTGGCAGGACCTGTATGAAAAAACCGAAGGGGCATTTAAACCCCCTTCTTGGAAAATGCAAGGTATAGACGGTATATCTACACCCCCGACCCCACTTCAGTCTGTATGCTTTTTTGATATTATATTTAATTTTATCTATATTTAATAAACATAGGTTTCGATATTTGCTTATCAATTTCTTTTCTACTGATATTATATCTGCTACATGTATGATTGTTTAACTGAAAATGGACGGATTTAAGCACGATTAATTTAATAATCGAGGCGAAATTGCGAAATGATTATACATTATTTGTTAAAATATCGAAGATTAGATCCTACCTTCTAAACCAAATATATTCCTACTGAACATGTCAAGATAACACATTCTTTCTCCGTTTCTTGAAACGATAAAGAAATAAATAATCAAAATGAAATGAAGTGAGATTTTATGGATGTTATTCAAATTCATATAGATTGCCAGAAGACAGAAAATATGCCCCATTGATAAAAATTTAAAATACACTGCAGCCATATTAATGGATCTTTCGAAGGTCTTCGGTTGCCATCCCCATAAACTATTTCTTTTGAAGCTTAAAGCCTGTAGCCTATCAGAATCAGCACAAGATATGTTTAACAGCGACCTTTCACACAGAGAGCAATGTGTTAATTTCATGACATCTTTAACATCATTTAAGGTGTCCAACAAGGATCTATTTTGGGGTTCCTATTATTTAACATATTTATAAACGACTTATCATTCTTTGTTGATAAATGTAACATTCACAATTATGCAGATGATAACATTATCTAAATCTGATAAATCTTTAGAACAGGTTCTAGCAGCGCTATAATTTGATTGCGATTTTTTAATAGCAAGGTTCTTTTCTAATAAATATACAGAAAACAGAAAAATTAACAGGCATTTTCTATTGGGAACAAAACACAAAGTAAAACATTGTGTTTGATTTAGATGAAATCAAAATTCCTTGTGATACTGATGTTGACTTTCTAAGAATCAATACTGCCTACAGTTTGTCTTTTCATACACATATTACAATATTTTGTGAAAAGGCAGCTAGGCAATAACTAATTTATGCGATTATAGATATAAAATAGATACAAAAATACTTCAAAGTTCCCAAGATCATGATAAACAAGATATGTAATAAATTCGGTTAAGTATGAGACATCAAAGTTCTGTTTTTTTTTTTTTTCTGGAATTCTGGAAATTTTCCTCTTACAATCAATTTTGAAACTACATTTTAACTTGAAGTGACGAACTAAATTGTAAATGTATTTTCTACAGACTCCAGACTTTAATGCCTCAAGCCAAATATCACTCCTTTGTAGCTTACATGTATCATTTGCTGGTTTTAAATAATCATCCATTAAATCATTGTTGTCTTAACTCCTCTTCCTTTATTATAAGTGTACACGACCTTTTTATTGTATATGTATTTGTGTGAGTTTTTCTTGAGAGTTTATTGTTGTCTTTTATATTTTCTTAAATTTGTGTTTTCTCCGTGGTTTTTGTTACATTCTTGTGTTTTCATTTGCTTTTATTCACACAAAATGAAAAGGCAGATCCCTTTTTTCGACCCTTGATTTTGGATGTCTTCAAGAATGATGCTACGGTTATTCTGAATATTGGGATTGTTTTGATGTTTTATAAATCTTTGCCGATGTAAATTAATTTCCTAAATGTGTTAAGCTTAGTGAAAAAAAAGATCTATTTTATCTACATTTACCTACTAGGAGAATTATGCATGGTTTGACTTCATGAAACGCTAGTTTTAATGAAACACGAAAGCTTAAAACCATGTCCATTTTTTTTAAAAAATTCCCTTACAACAGTCTTTTCTTTTGCTTTAACAGATGGTCCATCCGAAAGAAATATTGACATCAAAATTTCGGATTTATATGGTTTGATATTCTACGCACTTCTTCAAAGGAACTACTTTGAAGGTGCAAAACAACTCATCGAGGCAGGAGGAGTAAGATTTTTATTTCTAAAACATCATCCGTGATAGCCAACATGTTCTCGTACATTATACCATTCTTTGATATTTAGTATTCCAATTAAATTGAGTTTTGTCCGAGATTCTTGTTAAATTTCATAATAAAGTCATTTAGAAGCCTGACAAATTTTGTAAATTTGTTCATTCTTTGCGTAAGTCTAGATATTCGAGCTTTAAAATGATTAATCAAAGAAAGTAAATTCGAAGAATTGTTAAAAAAAATGTATGTCTTAGAATTGATACCAAAATATTGCAATTTTTGATCATTGGATACTTACAATATATTCACTGATTATTTAGATAATAATCTTAATCGTTCAAATTAAGAAGCTTTCCTGTTAAGATTTTTCAGTGGAACTTAATGCAAGTACAAGAATGATTATACGTTGGAATAACATCACTATATTAAAAGAAAAAAAAGAAGTAGAAATCTATATAATTTGGGTTTTAAAAAGTTAATCTGTAAATAAAATTTGGAAATGAAGAAAATGTTTGTTTTTTGTTTTTTTTAAATTTCGCTCGCTAACATTTGAAATGGAAAACCAAATAAAAGACTTTTAAAAAAATCTTAAAATTCGAAGAAGAAACAGCTTACAAATAGAATTCATATTGTTTGTTTTCGGAAGTGGAATTTATGTTTACAGTTGAATTTATGTTTACATTAAAAAAAATAAAAATAAAACTCTTTGTATAATTTTCTCATACTATTGGAATCAAATATCGCTTTACTGTCGACCGTAAGTACTACTCATGACATCACTTTATTTGAATTTCGTTAGATATGAAATTAGAAAATGTTTATGTTACCATGGTAACGAAAAAAAAATGCATGATTACCATTTTTTATTTTAAATGAACATCATTAGAAATCTTTTCCCCACAGGTGAGAATTCATCATATTTTGATTGGATGTGTTATTTTGGAAGAGAAAGAGAACGACTGGCGAGCTACACAGATTGAAAAAGAAAAGATGCAACAACTTTACAGGTCTCTACTATTTCCTAAAATGCTTTGGAAGAAAATTGTAAAATCTTTTTTTGTTTAAATATTTCTGAACTTACGTTTCTATACATTTAGAAGTTTTATACGTTAAATCATTATTTTTGTGAGAGGTTTAATTTTCTTTGTTTTCAAGGTTTAACGCATTAATTATTTCAAACATGATATGTACATTTTTACATATATTACTTTAAATATTTTTTGAAGCACGAAATCAAGTTAAAATGAACCAGTATATTTTCCTTTCATCTTTTTTTCAAATGAACCTCTAAATACATTATGTCCTTTTTTCAGTTTCTAATGCCAAAGTGTTAATTCACTAAAAGTAGGAGCAATTTATTTTGTTCGCACAATCAATTATCTTCTGGATACCAATTAACACATGAAGGAAAAGACAGGCCATTTTTCACACTTTACGATGATCACAAATGAATTTTTTAAAATTTAATTTTACTTATGATTTTAAACAGTAGTTTTAAACATGCTAAAAGTAACTGCTTCTCTAAAATTGAACTGGCACTGCGAGTTAAAACATCGAACGTATATTGTTTTGTATTTTTGTATTGTAAAAGTGTAAGTGTTGCAATACATCCACGGAAATATAACTACTAAAATCTTCTATAACTTCTATATTCTTGTTAAAAGAGTTTTAAAATTATACATTTCAAGGTAAATATACTTTAGTCGTTAACCCATTAATTGTAAATGCATAGATCTGGTGGAAGCGTGTGTGAACTACCAGAATTTCCTCTGTCCTGTACCAAACACGATAAAGTTAAATGATAAAAACGTGATACTATTGTTACTGATAAGTGTAGATTCTATAAGCAGATTTTTTCTTAATAATTAATAATGTGTTGGGGAGGGTTGGGTGGGTCTTTATCACAGTAAACATATGCAAATGTATTTTGGTTACATCCTAATTCTGATTTTTTTAGTATTTTTAATCGATATCTATTAATTTATTTATTTTCCAATTTGTAATGGAATTATCATTTGTAAAATATTTTAAAGACACTCTTGCTTAAAACTTCTGGGTGTGTGTTTTAACCCATTGTGTGGTTCGAATTCAGTCGCAGAATGACCGCAAATGTTTGCACTTTGCAATAATTTTGCGCCACACTTAAATATGATATGATAGAGAACCATGTGTAACATGTAGAACAAAATTGGTGCAACACTGCAAGACTATTTATCCGATATCACTAAAAGGGACTGACCCTTAAAATAACGGATTTAGAGGGACCAATATTATTTTCAATATTAAAAAATAATGTTAAGAATTTTAGAAAATTATTGAAGTAATGTGGAAGCTGGTGGGGAGGTCAAAAGTCTTTTTAGACGAGAAGTAGTCAGAAAATACAGAACATTTTTTTAAGGGTCGGGTTGTCCGACCATTTTCTCGTGAATTTCTCTGGAAGGAAACTTGAAACTCTCAGGTGTAATATAACTTTGTTCGAGATAAGCGAAACGTACTTCATTTAATCCGGAAATGCTGCGCGTCGTTGTCCGAAAAAAGTCATGATGAAAAATTCAAAATTATCAATGTTTTCCTTCCTGTTTTCCTGTGAATAAAATAAATATTTAGAACAAAACTTTAGCAAAATCACATTATCTTTCATTCAATAAAACGGAAAAGAGGCTTGCAATAATAAAGGGTTTCGGAGGACCCGAAAGTTTTCTTGTTTTTAAATTTCCAAAAATCGTTAAACATTTTTAATGCATTATTGAAGCAAAGTTGTTTAAAATATTATGTTGCAGCTAGTGAGCTAGAATCCGAGGTGGCCAGAAATGGTTTATTTTTGCACTTATCGACACAAAATTAAAGGATCCGTTGAATAATGAAACACTTAAATAGATACATGTAGAGAGCTACTTTAAGTTAAATTAATACTGACATCACTACAAGTCAGACTAGACGAAAACTTACTCGTTGCTTTGCAACCAACTCAGCTCTATTTTCAATATAAACATTATTTCTCTACCCATCTAATTTTGTTCACGCAATTTTCGAAGACTACTTGGTGGATTTTAATACAATTTTCAGGAACACAGAGATATAATCTGAATTTATTTTAACTAAAGGAATTTATAGAAATTCACTTGCGTTGTGAAGTTCTAGAGTATTTCATGAATTTAAAGAGACATCGTGTTCAAGAAAATATTCTCAAGAACTATAAAAGATACGAATATGAAACATTTTTTTGTTAGACGTCAATACTTACTCATATATAAAATCGATTTTTTAAAAACTTTTTATCATATTTTTTTTTTATTTTAGTAAGGTTTGTAGAAGCCCTTATGTAAAAACGTTATATATGAATTGTGTAAAATTTGTTAAACTCATGCAAGTCGGGATTTACGGTGTCGATCGAGCATTTTGTTGAACAAAACTTACCATACATATAGGGATTAATGTAAGCCCTACGACAATTAAGGCCTTATTGGATTGTCCGGTTCATAGTTATGTTGTATCCCTGTTTCAAATATAAGATTAAATCCAAGGTGTCCTTATAACTTCGACAATAATTATCTTTGACTGTATCTCAAAGTAGAAAAATAAAAGACTACACGTGGAAATAGGATAACAACAACCTTTTGTTTTGCACCATAGAAAAACCGAATCTAAATCATCGTAATAAGGAACGGGCTATTAAGAAACTTGCCTGCTAAGCAATTAATATCAAGTTAAAGAAGTAAATATCAGATTCCTTAAACGTCGCTAGGCGTGTTTATCGGGAAAATATTTCCGTCTTCTCATGAATAAGTACCTAATCGAAATAGTTCACTCTGGGAATAAGCAAAGAAATAATGTATGTAAAAACAATCAAAGCCAATTCACTTCTCAAGTATTATTTTCCTATATTCGATATGTTACATGCATATGTGCAATTTGATAAACATACTTTAAAAAGTACAAAAATAAGGCTATAAGAACATTTTTTTTTAAATTTCATTGTTATCACATCCATTTAATAGTGCGTCCCAAAGAAAGACGTGGATGAATATTCAGTAATGTATCGTGGCCCGCCTTTCATATTTCCAAGACAGATTAAATCAGAAGTATACTTTAGAGCATAAAAACATTACTTCGATATGTCTTGATATGGTATTGCATTGGAAAAAAGTTGAATACATAAAGATTTAGAAAATGAACAGTACCATCGGTTCACAAGTAACATATTTTCTTTTCCCTGCTAACAGGTATTATTAAAATCCTTTAACATATTCCGATGTAAATCTTCTTGCAGAGAATATGGTTTGCTAACTCTCATTCTATAATTCCCCATTTTGTAAAAAAAAAAAAAAGAAAAAAAAAAAACCTCACCGACGCTCCTAAAATGACTGGTAGAATATCACTGGTAGTTTCCATATTGAATTTTCATGCGTTTACATCTTTTTCAAAGGTATTTTGGCGGTTTTTTACTTTGAGTTTTTGGGACTATTTTTCATTTTTAAAAAAAATCCTTCAGATCCTTGTTTTTTTTTTAAGTTTAGATTACATGCAAGAATATCACATATAAGGATGGTTATACGGATTAAGATGTCCGCATTGCTCGCAATGAGGTTCTAGTAATTCCTGTTCTCCATACCGCATGATTATTTTTTTTTACATTCTTATACTCCTACACTCAAGATAAATGAAATTTTCATTGAAATCTCTTTAAAGATATTGGTGAATATCAAAATAATTTAAGACATTGAGCTTATTCCATTTGTTTAAATTTGTAGGATATTCTCACATCATGCTTTAAGAATTCTGAGATGCATACATGCAAATGACAATGCTGAAAGACCTGAAGATAAACATCTCAAGAACGCAAAAGGACAAAAAGAAGTGGGGGAACATGTTCAACATGCAGGGCGATTACTGCTGAACCATGGTTATCTGACAGTTATTATTAAGACAAAAAATACAACAGTTTTGGGAGACAAAACTGTGAAAGACATTTTGAATCAAATGTGGTACGGAAAAGAATCATTGTCAATTTCTAGGGTAAGTTGAACTTTCTTGGACGAATTTAGAACTCGTGTATAAAAATACTCCCTCATTCATTCAATGTAATGCAGTCTAAAAAATCTATATTGCAGATACTTTTATTTACTCTGTTGACATTCATGCACGTCATAATCTTGCCTGTTCTGATGATCACCATGGAACACAAACCTTTACGCTGGTAATAGTTTCGAAAAAAGTACATGTATTTCAGATTTTAACATTGCTAACATTTGCCTTAAATATCGAAAAAAAATTATTTTGTTTTAAATTCATGTTGTTAAATTTGAAGGTTGTACAGACAATATCAAATCCCAGTTATGAAAGTTCTGCTGAACTTGGTAAGACAGTCGAATACGATTCTTTTTAACTATGTTATACATGTAACATATTAATTTTCTTATGTTTCTTCTTTATATTATTTTCCTTGGTACCTTGTTTTCTGCGAATGATTTTGTAAAATACTCGTCTGATTAAGGTGAAACCTGTTAAGGGTCAGTAGGCATGCCATGTAGATTTGCGGAGCGGAGGCTATGTTGTGCGCACGTGCTTGCAAGAG